CGTGGGCCGTCTTTCTCCCGATATCCTATCGACAACACCATACCAATCGCGTTGCATATTTATCGTGTCTGATAGTAACGGTGCATATCCACGCGGTTATCTTACCGGCAATTATTCTGGATGCACTGTAATACCGTTTGCCTCACGGCTGCGTTGTGAATGTCGCACAGCAAATGGCGTGGAACGTGTCCACTTTAATTATAGTTTATCGTATCCCGAAGTACACCGTGCCGCTATCCTATCCGCAGCTGCTGTGGAGAATTATACGGACGCGACGCCAATTAGCCCGCGCAAGGCCGGCACGTAATACCGTACAGATAGAAGAACAGACGAGAGCGGTCAGCGGACGAACTCGGCTGTGCATCTACACTTTATTTACGCTGTCGACGCTGCTGTGCTGGATCCCCGCGTCGGTGTACTACGAGCTGTTGCCGTACGGCGTCGCTCAGACGAAGTTACTCAGGGAAATCAGCAGTGCGCTCTTTGACGCGCAGGTTTTCCTCGATCCGTTGTTCGTGCTGTTCAGCCTGACGAAAACCAGCAGCTATCTGCGACAGCGCTGCAACTGGCTGCGCAGCGCTGTTGGAAATAAGAAGACCGGTGACGCTGTTATAACTGAGGATACTGGCCAGAAGAACCAATCGCCGCCACAGCGGTGCGTGAAATCGGAGTAAAATGTATTAGGCTTTCCCGGATCCGCGTGTGTTAACACAAAAGAATCTTCTTTAAAGCGCGCCAATATCTTGTGGCTTTTGTCATGCTGCTGCTGCAAAGTTTATAATATGTGAGCAAATGATAAGCGTTATTTTACCAATAATTTGTCATCTTTGACAACGGCACTGTTTCATAGATTCAACGAGTTGTTCCACTTCTTTATTGGTTACGTATCGGACAATTTTAAATACGTAGATTATCATAGAGGACCGTACTATTTTTTTTTGTCAACCTGTCCATAATGTCCATGTTCGTGCGTATGATGCAGGACTTGTTCTTCGTGACCTTTGTATACTAACGGAAAATAGCAGCGTGTGGCAGCGCAGATCCAGAACAAGCATGTGCGTCGTGTTTCCTGTTTGGACTTATCCAGCGGCTGATCAGAAACAGGGAGCAGAGGCAACTGCGTGAGCGGGTGCATTCGACCCTTTTGGCTCTACTATTCTATATCTGTGCAGTAATCATTTTCAGCGTCGATAGGTTTCTTGTTCTTAATCGCAATAACGTCAGGATGGAAGAAATCAGGTGCATTCAGCGAAGAAAACTTGCGAAACAAGAGCAATACATTGCATAGCTGTTCTCGCAGCAGGAAGGTTGCTTAAATTAAAGCCTTAAGGATTGCAAGTTATTGCCGTCAGGTGGCAGCAGACACGTACGCCCGCTTGGTAGGCATAGCGCTCTTATATTAGAACAGCGAATGTGGAGCAGTTATCTCATCTCAGCATCGAAGACTTTTCGCCCTTTCTTGGTTTGCCAATTGCCATGCGATGAGTACAGCGGGGAAAAAGGTCACGCTCGCTTCTTCGACAATCTTGGCTGCAGACTGTGAAAACCAATAGGTCAAGTGCATGGTCAGACTACAAGTCTTTATGCGCAAGCTAACACACAGACTACAGACTGTAATCTGTAGTCTGTACAAAAGGATGCAGGCAACAGGAATAGCTGCGTCCAGCGATCAACTAGCTTGACGCTGGATCGGACGCAGCTAGTCCCCAGCGCTAGCCAGATCTCTCCGACAAGACCGTAACCGCATGCTTTGCTGAATATGTGTATCGCGCCGACTATGAAAGTAATTGTGTAGGTTTAATAAATGCTGATTTTGCCGATGTGTTGATATTTTCCAAACCAAAACATACTCTTTCATGGCTACCACACTCTCCACGACCCCAAGTCCCCAACGACCACTGAAAATGCTTAGAAGTATACCGGCTATGCTGTTAAAATAATAAACGTAAAATGAACCTATTTATTACTCAACTTGCGATGCGGAAAGAAGCTGCGCCGACATGGCATCATGCCGATCATCTATCTCTAGTCTCCACGCTAAACGAATACGTGGTCGAGCGATTTTCAGCGGCAAACTCATTTGATATCCTCAAAACTTGCAAAGTGCAGTACATGTAGGATGTAGATGTAGCAACCATAACTCATCCATAATTCATAAGGACTCGTAAATACAATACACTTATATAAAGCCGTTATAGTTCTGGATTTTATGTTGGCAGTTTTCTTCTCCTGTCTTTAGTGCTTGGTAGATTTACAAATGTTACATCTTACACGCCTCTGTCATGCTGACGCTGTCATATTAAATTCTTGTTTATCGAAAAAAGATTAGTTGTAGGGTGTCCTGAAAAAAAATAGAGCCGTTACATTATACGGCGCCAGAGTTTTGTATGATTTGCCGCAAATGCAATGATGCAATCACCAGGCACTGTAAATTTTGCAATCTGCCACCGCCGCCTGGGGGGCACTTACACAGGTACTCTGGCTGGTGCTCGGCGCTCGCACAGTTGACTGTGACTTTAACAAGTTTGTAATTCTGGAGCGCTTTCTTATGGTTTTGATTTAGTTTTATGGTTGATCGTTGATGATTGGAGATTTCTTCATGACTTTGAACACTATGGAAGGATAATCCGCCACCATGTCCCACATCTACAACCGTCCCGACGACATTTACGCGTGGAACGCAGTGGACGTGCAGGACGAGCGCACGGGTCTGCTGCAGCACGGCCGCGTCGTCAACGCCGTCAGCAACGGCCTCATCGTCGACCTGGACTGCGAAGGCCGTCGCGCCGAACTACTGCCGCACAGCGCCGTCTTCCACTGTCATCGTCGCGTCAACACAACATTCTACGAGGACAGCCCCTGGGGGTTTCATCGCGACATTAGCGAAATACGGCGGCAGCGTGTGGAGGTGTTGGCCCGCGAACAGGCCAACCGCCCCTGGACGTGGTACGTAACGGGGCTTTTCGTAGGCTTTATTATGAACGCATGTTAACGCGGATGTATCGTAGTTAGAACGATAGATATTAGATGATGTAGCGAATGCAACAGCGCAGTATACTTTGTGTATGTGAGAACGACATGTAAAGTAGCACAGTGATCAGACAGACAAGTCCACGAACGTAGAATATATTATGATGAACGGCTGCATTACAGGTACCCCGCGGAAATCATCTACCCACGCCTCTTCTGGCAGCGCTACGTCTTCCTGGCCATCCAGCTGGGCGAGAGCCGCGTCATCAGGCAGATGATGCGGGCGCATCCTGTGCGCTTGCGCGACAGGCACACTTCATCCTTCGAAAGGGAGATACGCGCCATCGTGCCTGCTTCCTTCGTCGCGCAGGGCCAACCGCTGCCTGCTGACTATTGGGGCGTAAGGGACGAACCCGTAGCCGCCCCCCTATGGGAGGCCTGGAAGGAGGCCGTCTCTGCGTCGCAGCACGGCATTTGGCCCGTGTGTGTTCTGGGGAAAATGGTGGTGTTTCTCCAGGGAACGAAAGAGAAAGACTCTTCGCTGCCGCTGCAGCCCGAGCAAATGGTTAGTACCGCACATGAGTACATGCATTAGCACTTCGGGTAACAAGTTTTAATTTCCGAGTGGAAATAAATATGGAAAATTTGCAGCTGGTGAAAGTAAGGATTATCATTTAATCAAAGCAGCAGTATTTAATACCGGCAGAATTCATATACACTACAATAATTAGGACTGTCAAATATCAGCAGCGGTGAGCAGCCCGCTTGTATCTGCGGCACGACTGCTGCGCACGTATCGGTTACTCATCTTTCCGCTATGACTAAGAAAATTTGAAACATGTTCCCACCACTGATGACGGATACACTCGTAGAAATAAGTCTAATACTGTAACCACCAAATCTGACAGCACCGTGAATTCTGCAATAAATCTGCCTTCAGTGCCATTCACTACCATGGATGACGCAACACAACAAGCGCAAACTTATTAAGAAACATAATTTCACATAGCTTAATGACATGTAATATTAATTTTTTCTTCATGTGTAATAAATTTACTAATCAGGTGCTAAAAAAACCAGGTGCGAAATTACTAATTAGGGGCAGATTCGCTAATTAATTAGCTGCTAAATGTGCTAATTAGGCGTGGATGACTCTAGTTAGATCATCAAATTTTCGGTCAATTACTAATTAATATTTAATTAAACCTTTTTATCTGAAAACTTAATGACGAACTACAGTAAGACTGAGTAAGTACAGCGTAATCACATATAGTTTACTGTAGCCTGGATCATTACGAACGTTTACTAGTATTAGCAGCGCAGAATAATTTTAACGAGTTGACAAGCGGTCATGAATGTGAGCGCGAATTATAAAACCGAGCTCAACAGCTCGGTTTTCTTATTCTGCAACTGATTCTTAATCTGACCAATGCGCGCGGCGTTATCAGTGAATCTGTCTGACTCACAAATCAGTGCGTGAGTTGTTGCGCACTCGAGAGTTTTGACCTAGATACAATTCGCATCAGAGTCCCAATACGTGCTAAATTTGACAGCAACGAATGCTAGTACGAGTAGTTGTATACAAGTAATTAAGCATTTGAATTCTGTCAGGAGGAACTAATGTCGGCAGCCAAACAGCGTCTGGCGCAGCGCTCTGTCGCCGCCCCGACACCATCCCCGTCAGTGCAGCGACCCTGCAGTCCGCCCGAACACGAAGCCCTGCCTGGACTGCCCGCGGAAATTTGGGAGGAGATCTTGCATCTGCTGGACAGCGCGCAGCGGGCCCAGTGCCGGCGCGTGTGTCCGCTGTGGAACGAGCTGCTGCAGCAGCCCGGCCAGGACGTCCTCGTGTCCTTTGCGCATCAGCGCGGCCTGGACAAGAGCGGCAGGGTCAACACTCCCCACGAAACGGAGTGGCGGCGCTCCGCGTACATGGTAGGGCTGAGTTTGTGGCAGTGCGTCGGCGCCGGCACGCAGCGGATCATCATCCGAAACGCGTCGCACCGGGCCTATTGCAACCAAGCCTTGCCGGACTGTCTGCGGCTAATCGAATGCATCCACGAGGGACTCCAGCCTCCTACCGGGAAGGCCCTGACGCTCATCCTGCACAAATGCCATTGGGACGTGGGCAATTTGCGGGAGAATCGTCTGGAGTGTTCGGTGCCGGGGGTGAAAGTCATCTGGAAGGACTGCAGCTTCTCCGGCCCCAGCCGGCACTTCTGCCGGCAACCCATCGCCTACGGCGTCAGTGCCGCGCACGCGCAGGGCACGGCAGCGTTCCGGGTGCTGGCGGCCTCTCTGCCGGATCCAGGAGAGGCGGAGCTGGCGCGGTTGTCGCGTTGGTTGGCCGATGCGGCCAGTGAAGGTGCCGATCCTGATCTGCGGCAGCGGATCGATCGGGTGGGTAGTGGGCATTGGGTACAGACCTGTTACTGCTCAATCTCGCGCGAATAAACGCCGTTTGTCCCTCTAAGAAGCTTTTGTAGCAACCATCGCTGTCGATCAGTTTTCAGCATTCTGTTGCATGCTTATGTGCGCTTGATACTTGATACATACCGGAATGTGCTGTTAACAGGTTCTATCCAGCTGTCAAACTTGGTACAATGATGCGGATTGCTATCTTGAGGATTCCATCGACGAATTTGACGTCGAGCACACGTTTGTGACGTTGGAGGAAGTGCAGCAACAGGGTTTGGCCGGCTTGAGCAAACTGACGCTGTGTGCCCTACAGCGCGAAATGGATATGGGCGACCAACCTCAACCGGATTCCACTGATGGATGAATTGGCTGCTGGCGCGCAACGATCCCCTGCGGGTGAATCCTCTTTTTAACGTTACTGGATTTTAGCCTATTTAACTTGCTCTCATGTATGAATACCTACAAGTTAGCATAAAAAACACTTGGGATCATTTCCTGCCTGAAACAGTCCCGTCAGATGTGTGTAATTAAAAAGTACAATTTTTTGCGATAAACCGGAAAAAAGGAAATACCGCGAAAAGGATAGCACTTGATCGAGTAGCCTTCCAGTTTTCCACGAGGCATGGTGCCCGTAAAGAGGCATGCGGCAGTTTTTGTGTGAGGCAACTGTGCATCACTGTTTTTGGAAATGTTTTATTAGCACAAGCCAGCTATGTTAAGCAAATTTTGTAACAAAATAGAGCGAATTATAACAGCAAAATCTCTTTGAAATTGTCCGTTGCGTTCACGGTCCCGAGGACGGAAACCGCGTTGCCTCGTATGGCAGTCCTTGCCCGGTAAAGTGTACAGCATCTGTACGTGCCTAAGTCGTAACGTTAACGGCATGTTACGCGTACGCGAAGCTGGAAAAAATTCCCAATGCCGTAGATAATTGTTGTTTGTCTGAAACATGAAGTTATATGAACTCAACTTATCCTGATAGTATCTGATCAAGTAACGCAACCAGAAGCCGGCATCTGGTTGAATGCCCTGCCTTCTGCACCCAGCGAGGCCAGCTACGAAAATATTTTAACATGTAGAAATGAGGACAGTTTTCAAGCTTTCCGGTCAAATTCGACCAGTGGTATAAAAACTGTGAAAGCCTCCGCAGTTTTTCTTTTTGTTTGCATTTTTCACGGTTCTTATTCACGTTTTTAATAGTTTTTAATATTGAAAATTCCATTGAAAAAATGGGCGTAAATCAAATTAATGGCGCATTTTGTATTTTGTCACGAGCGGCAGATTGTCATCGCACGCACTCTAATGTAACTTTGTATTGCCGATCTAACGAACTGAAAACTTGAATTTTTTTGCACGACCGATAATAATTATTTAAACGGTGATTAAATGAATGGAGTGGGATCATTTACACGATGCCCACAAAAACCATTCAACCGATATTTTAGCGCAGAATAACGGTTGCCCAAGGTGACCTGGGAGGCTGCATCTTCAGCTGCTAATTGTAAGATTTTCAGCCATTCAGTCAAGCTCTGGAGTATTTATAAAAATAAAATAAATACATATTTATTAAATTTTGAGGTTAGTGAATACCCAAGCTACCGCCAGTATTACAGAGCAACGTAGGACTTAGTGAATACCCAAGCTACAATACCAGTATCACAGAGCCGCTATGTGAGTGAATACGGTGAACGGGCCGCAGGCTGGCTTTTAGATATTTAGAAATTACATATAAATCAGACAATTTAGACCGTGAGATATTGAGGTACTTAGATTTCTAGATAATTTTAAATTTCGAAACTTTGGAGGCTCAAAATTCGAGGTAACGGCCCGCTGCGCGGCAGTCGAAATATTTAGAAATATTTAGAAATTCTTGAAATGTAAAAGCTTTGGAGCCGACTTTCAAAACATTTATAGTTATTTTGAGGTATTCAAACAGATTTAAAAACATCTTAAAGGTTTCAAGAATTTAAAAAAATTATAAGTTTGATAGGATTGTCAATTTCAAATAACTATAGTTTAGGTTGCTAAGTTGCGAAACTTGTATTTGCTCATTCGAGACGTTTGTAGAATTTACTGGAAATTTCTATGAACTTTAAACGCTAAGTACGGAAAGTTTGAAAGGGTTTTTGAAAACGTTCCGGAAACCAAAATTTTTTTCGAAGCAGCAGATAGGAAGCTTTAGAAGATGCTGGGTTTTATAAAATAATCAAAAGCTTCACCAATGGAATCTCGAATTAGTAGATAATTTCCAAAACTAACAACCTTTAAGTACTAACAACCTTTAAGTACTACAGCTTCTAAAAATTTTGTTAGACCTTCTCCAAAACTTGAGATTTTTTTAAATATAAAGGTAGGAACGTTTGCGCGATGCTCTATTTTACAAAATTATCACCTTATTAAAAAAATCAATCTTGATTTAGAAGATAATTTCCAAAAAACAAGGACGTAAGGATATATGAATCTATTGATAATAAAAAGTCGCTGCTGTTAGCCTGTTAGCCTGTTTGCACTTGCACTCAGTGTACGGCGACTGTACGCAGTTAAGTTTTACTTTTTAGCATCGACTATCAAGGATTCCAGTGTTCATTTTAGTTTTCGAACCGAATCTGGCGAATTGTCAACCGTGGTCGCTTCGGATTAGGGATTCGCTTGAGCAGATTGCCAGTTCGTAGATGAAACTGTATGGTTGTTTTGCAATCCTGTCTGTTTCTTGTAAACAGTAAATTAGTAAATAATCTGTGATTGGTATTTGACGCTGCTTTGACTGGCCTCTGAGTCCGGGCACTCCGGGGTCGACCGCCAAGGGCCAAGGGATTTCATTTGGATAGATAGCCGAGTATGTTCAGACAGTTCAGTATCTACAACCGTCCCGGCGATATCTACGCGTGGAACGCCGTGGACGTGCGGGCCAGCGACGGCTCTTGGGAGTACGGCCGCGTCATCAACGTCCTGCACAACGGCCTGGTCGTCGACTTTGACTGCCCCGGACGGCGCGCCGAGCTGGTCGACCCGGAGGCGGTCGTCGTGCGCCGCAGTCGTCGGCCCCGGGCACACCTTCTCGGGCAGCGCCGAGTCGGCGCAGGATCTGGATGAAAGCCTCTTCCCCCAGGGGGTGGGGCAGCGGGTGGAGGTGTTGGGGCGGAGCAGTGCCGACCGCCCCTGGACGTGGCAGCCGGGCACCCCCTTTCTTTGCCAGATGTACTGGCAGCGCTATGTCTTCGTGGCGATGGAGGGCCCCGAGGGGGCGGGACTGAAGCGGCTGATGCGGGCGCATCCTGTGCGATTATTCACCCCGGAAGCAGCGGAACCCGCGGGCGCTGCCGGAACGCTGGATTTTGTGACGCGCGCCCGCACCCTCCCGGCGGCCTACTGGGGCGGGGGTCCCGTGAGCGCGGCGCGGTGGGAAGCCTGGAAGGAGGCCGTGCAGGCCTCTGAACACGCTTTCTGGCCGGTGTGCCTCATGGGCGCGACGCTGGTCTACCTGCAAGAACTGCGGGGGACGCCGCTGCTCGACCAGCATCTGGTACATTCCTCGTCGATCACATTAATTTTCAATAGTTCAATAGTTTTATAAGTATTTATGTTTTAATATTTATTTTATCGCAGTTTTTATTGATATATGTATTGTTTCTCTTACCGTGTGCGGATTAACAAACGTTTTCGTTATTTTTAATTTTTTTTCTTATACTGATATTTTTTTGTCCGTTTTATATTTTTCACGGTTTAGGTTTTCCTACAGTCTTCTTGTTTTTTTTGTTCATTGCATGAATTTTCCGTTGGCAGGAAGAATTGCGGATGCAAGCCAACAGCAAACTGCAGGCGTCGCCTTGTCCGCTGTTGTTCGTGTCGGTGCCGGCGTCCGCTGCCCTCGCGGATGACGACGGCCAGGGAAGTGCGTTGCCCTGTCTCCCGGCGGAAGTGCAGCGGGCTGTGCTGGACATGCTGGACAGTGTGCAGCGCGCGCAGTGTCGGCGGGTGTGTCCGCTGTGGGACGCCCTGATCGGGACGGAATGGCGGGTCATCTGGGTGTCGTTCGCCCACCAGCGCCTCGTCGACGCCGACGGGAAGGCCACGACACCCGACGAAGCCGGCTGGCAGCGGTCCGCCTACCTCGTGGGCATGTGCTTATGGAAATGCCTGAGGGAAACCACCCAAACCATCGTCATCAGCAACGCCGTGCAGCAGTGGCAGAATAACGGGCTGGGCGACTGCCTGGACCTCCTCGACTGGCTGCTGCGGGAGCAGGAGTGGGACGACGATGTGAGGGTGGTGATGCAGCGCTTCCACTGGGAGCTGGACGGCCCGCTGACCGACGAGCTGCACGCGGCGGCGGCGGCGGTGGAGCGGGTGGTGTGGCTGAAGGGGACGTTCAGCGGGCCGGTGGAGCACTTCCGCCGGGTGCCGGTGCCGCTGTGCTACAGTCACGTGGATGACGAGGACGACGACGAGGAGGAGCTGCCCGTCCACGCGGACCTCAGTCATCTGTTGGAAGCGTATCTGGCGGAGCCGGAGGGCGAGGAGCGGGCGCGGCTGCTACAGTGGCTGCGAGATGCCGCCGAGCAGCCGGCGGACTCTGCGGACCGCCAACGCATCGACAAGGTCAGCGTTTGTAATGAATATTACGTTCAGGAAATCAAATCCTTTCCTAATATGTCAACTTTCCTGTGCAGATTCTGCATTACTGTCAGGAGCAAGACCCGCGTGTGCTGGCCAAGTACGGCGACGTGGCGTGGACTGTGGACGCGCTGCAGGCTGACCAGCTGGGCAGGTTGACCAAACTGACCCTCTGCGCTCTGCAACGCGAAATGCGCGCTCCGTCGGCTGATCGTCCAGCTGCCGGCAGCCCTGCCTATTCCTACGGGGATTCGCCCGCCTATTCGCCTTCCAGTCCGCCCCCTTCGCCCTGACCTGACCTGACCCCGGGCTCATTGGCTGGCTAACCGCTGCTTCACATGTCCGATCTCCTTCCAAAAGCATCCCCTTTTGCGTAACCAGCCAACGGGTTCCCAGCCTTGCAGTCGTGATGTTGTACGCGCAGTGATTACGATGATTGGCCCTATTCTCCACCGTTACTTTGTTCATTCTTGTGATCGGGTTCACTGGAAAAGAAGCGTAGTTGCTTATTGTGCTCAAAATCATTGTCATTTCCGATGCAGTATCTGACAATAAATTATTCTGTTATGGCTACGCCGGAATCCGCTGACAAAATATGACTGCCAGTATTATTCGCTGTTCACAGTCCACTGGCCGTGCACAACTGACAACGAGAGTAATCTTGTGTACATGTACGAGTTCGTTATATTCTGTACAAGTCCGTCCGGATGATGAGAACGAATAAATACAGCGAGAGAAATAACTGCAGGGGTTACGCCCACGGTTAAACTACCGAATACAGACGCAGCGGAGTAGTGCATGACCTTTGCACCATGCTGACCGCAAGCGATATTAAGCAGAAGATTTATGTGTACTGTGCCATAGCAGGAATGAAGGTCTGTGATATACAATACAGACCAGGAGAGGTACATCCACTTGAGTGAATTCCAGTGTCTCAGACAGAAACCATCTTCGCGACAAGATCTCGGATTTAACATGGCCTACTGGACTTTGACCGACCTACTCGTTGTTTACTTAGTCTGTGCAGTTCAGACTATTCACTATTACCATCGGCGCGTAGACGTATAGCGGTAGCAGACATTGTACCGGTAACAGTAGAAAGCGAAGATGGTTTCCCCATTCACACGGGGCTACTTAGATAATCTCGAGGCTTATAACGGTACCTTTGTTACGGTGGCAGACAGGTACATTATCGGTACCAAAAGAGAATGCGCCATGGTTTCCCCATTTCGCATTTGACCAATTGACTAGAGAGTCCCTATAATGTGAGACTCATAAGGAGTAATTGCAAGAAAAGCGGTGAAACCTGAATACCATGCACCAAGCCACATTATTCGCCAATAAGCGAAGCAGTAAGACAACAATGGTAACTAATGATGCACGAAATGTGCGTCAACGGGAGATGCGCATTTCGCTGTAATAGCGCGGTAACCGTGTAGGCTATAACTATAAGCCTATACACTCTGCGCTTGATGGACAACCGTTTCGCATATCGGCCGAAACGGTGGTCAGACGCGCTGTGTGATGCCTTATAAAAGGCGATACGGTCGCAGGTGGTCACCGGCTTAGGATTGGCCAGCTGATGTTTACACAAGCGCGCGCTTTCAACGCGTTCGACGCCGCCTGTCGCGAAGATAGATAATTGTTTTATGACCTGTGAGCGTACCTAAAGCGCAATCTTAATATGCGCCTTCATTCCTGCTATGACTGTGCCCGGTCTTCCGATACTCGTACTAAGAAGTAGTTTTCATATCTCGCAAACCAGAAAGCAGCGAGAGCGGGCTAGTAGAAACAATACAGAGCCTACTACGGAGAAAGGACACCGATCGACGAGCAGAAAACGTTATTTTTTTGCTCAGGCCGTTTTTAAAAACCGGATTTTGATAGATGGCCGTACAGTCAGTCCTGTAGCGGGGAAATGTTGCCTCCAGGCACCGAAATACCACCGTGCAGTGCACACGGTGCACTGCACAGAGCCACTGGGTGAGAGAGTGACCAAAATACTGCCTGCCTACCTACGAACGCACTCTCGCAGATTATCCAGTGTTCTAATTAAGCTGCACCTGACCTGCGCCCCGATTAATCCACAGCGCGTATTGACAACCACCGCATGTCCCTTAACTTGCCAGTGAACTGAGTGAAGGGAACTGGGAGAGTTACTACGTAAACAGAATTTGAAAACCCTGTAACTGTTGCTCTCTTATTAACGCTATCCAGTGAACAGATATTGTAAGAACGAGAAGTACGCCCACCCATTGAAAACTTGACCTCTCAGCGGCGTTCAGAGTTCTTGTACATCCTGACCCACACTCAGGTCGCTCAGGCTAGTGTCTACTGTTCAGGGCACAAAAACGCCTGCTGCTCATCGACACGCTGTACGCTCTGCTGTTTATCCGCAGAAACTGCTGGTCGTAGCCCGTGATTAATACATCTGGCCGTTCCGCTGCACATTTCCTCTGTACCTCATGTCCGTCTTCCCGCGCTTATCGTACACATGCACTTGTTAATCGTCATCAAATGGGCGTGGGCCGCGTGGGACGTTTGCCTCCCCGTACCCTTTAAGGCACCATACAAACTGCGCTGCCTATGCGTCGTACCTGATGATAACGGTATGGTGTATACCCACGCGGTCATTACCGGCGATTAAATATTGTGGACGGACTGCACAGAGTACTATCGTTTGTCCCACACACACTGTCACTGCATCCCCGGCAGTGTCGCACAACAAACGATATGGAGCGTGTCAGCCCTAATTATAGTCTTTCGTATCCCCAGATTCTGTACACCGTGCCGCTGTCCTATCCGTTGCTGCTGTGGAGAAACATCCGGACGAGACGCCGATCAATATTCGGAAGCAGCCGCAGACGACGGAGCGTGACCGTGCGCGGACCAACGCAGCCGATTTGCATCTATAGTAACTTTATTTACCCTGTCGGCGCTGCTCTGCTGGATGCCGCGTCGGCGTACAGATACAACGAGCTGCTGAAGTATGACGTCGGTATGGCGGGCCACACCAATTACTGCGCGAAATCACCAGTGCCTTGTTTGAAGCGCAGATCTTACTCTTGCTCGATGCGTTGTTTGTATTGGTCAGTCTGAGAAAAAGCACCGGCTATCTGCAACAGCGCTGCAACTGGTTGCGCTGCGCTGCCGGACATAGAAAAGTCCGGGGTGGCTGTGATAGCGGCCAAAAAGGCCAATCATTTGCGCAGGGCATGCGCAATCGGGGGGCGTACCGATAAAATTGTACTAGTTCAGTATAGATAACGCACAACCGCACGGAGACCGAAGGAATGCCGGCGGCGTGGCTGGCCGAACCGGTCTGCAGTCTGCACCGTGTCGCGCAGCAAAAGGCCGGTTAGCAGATATTAAAACACAGGGTTAGCCGGGGTGGTGGACACCTGGGAACCTGAATATGGAATCCGTTGTACGGGATGGTCAGTGCCGGCGTCGTCAGCTTCAGAAACCCTGAAGTCACAGAAACGGAGAAACCATAACAATAATGCTGTAAAAGCAAGCAGTCTAGCGCAACCCGGCTGCCATGTCCTATGCGAGCTCTCAACTCTACATTGAATACAGTACAAATATTTTAAGTCCAGTAGTCAGTTACTCAGTTGTACCTTTTGCACTGATCACGGCAAATGACAACACATCCACTGGCGTTAAAGTAAACGGGAATATTTTCTAAAACAGACTTTTCAACGTTGCATCTTGTTAAACTTAACTGGCTTCGGTTCGCGCTTGGTTTGGTGACAATTGGTGTGATCCATTGTTGATCTCGTGCAGCCACAATGTCATCGTAGCATCTAGAGTAGAAGCTGCTTGAATCTGTTTGGAAGTTTACCGCACTTTTAACGATCCACACAAGCATGCGGTAGTTCAGTCTAATCGACCGACAATCCATGAACTTACTTGTGTAAAGATCTGTTTGCTGAGGTAAGACAACTGAAAATGCACTGGTGTAAACGTTCAACGTATTTAATTCGAACTGATAGTATACTCGTACCGTTTCTGTACGCAGCTCTACTGGCATATCATCAACATAGGCACTGATTACTTGATACTTCTTTTATTTCAATAGCTCGATAACAATATCAAGGTCTAGTTACGATTAAACAACTGATTACTTGATTGATGCATGACCTTTATTGTGTTACGAACAAACATGCACCACTGCTTTCCGTAAAATAATAATAGGTGCTATGATTATAACAGTAGTGGTAATACTTGTAAAAGCTAGCAACCATTCAGTCACCTTAACTGTGTTTAGAGTTGTCGAAAGACTGATGTAGTCTATGCTTTTGCGTATCCCTTTTTACCTCATTCCTGGGTTTGTAATTATTTTGAGGTTCGTTTCTAAAAACGGGAAGGATTATTCTTGATAATCAAACTTCCGTAATTTGGAAACGGCACTAGGTTCACTCCGGTCTGTCGAGAACCGATCGGACCACTGCATTTTCATGGTTGTCACACATAGTGCTCGTAGCAGCACGGTCGCCGACAGACGCCTGTAAGCTGAATGCTGAAATCAGTTTTTGTGTCTTCCTAACGAAATTTGGCATTTCACGGACATTTTTGTACTGAACCTGATAAACATGCAACCGCCAGACGTTATCAGTCCGCGCCGGAAGAAATGTGCGTGAACACACAATCACTCGTGTGTATCATACGGTGTTTTCTGGGAACCACTCGGGCGAAACATGCAAATCTATCGTCCCACAAAAATGCTGTTAACCGGGAGCTTACTAGTACTATGAACTGCCGTCTGCAAGTGGCAAGTTGCTGGACTACAGTAGCGAACTCGTTTGAAAATAAGCATTAATAGGGAGTAATCAACCAGCCATCTAAAATACAGTGATAAACGAAGTTGGCACAACCGTCAGATCCAGCCGCTGCCGGGCATCGCACCGTTACGAAGAGCACTTGGCAGAGAGTGCGACTTTCCCTACCCCAGACCCTGTGGTGCAGTGTCTGTACCGTCGATCGAATATCTGCAGGGCTATGAAGAGCGAAATCTTGGTTCATCAAGCAATTCCCAAGAAAACTGTCAAAAACCGTTGCATAAGCTGTGAACGACAGGTCAACAAGTGAACAATAATAACAGTGACAGACATCACGCTTGTGCATTTGCAGTAATAGTATATGGAAAGCTGGAAAATTTATTTAGCGGTTATTGGTTACTCGTTACCACGGTAATATTTGTGGTAACAACGAGGTAACGCTGGTAACGAAGTAAATAGGGGATCATTTTGTTCGGTTAGCCCAGTTCGATAAAAGCCAATGTTTGTGATCAAGTACTAGCCAAGGTCAAGCTGCAGCATTCCAATTACCACCATGAATATGACGGCATATTACTTATAACTGTGTAGTTACAATACAGCTGGCCGTTACGCGCAGTTACCGGCAACGTTGAAACATCATGGATGACAGTTTCACATTTTCCTAGTTCTGGAAACTCCGCCATTAGAAAAATCGTTATGAGATGAAAAAACATTTCTTAGTTCGTGATTTAAAAAAAAACACTTAACGCTAGCGCTTATCCAAAGCTAGAACAACATGAAAATTAATAAGGGTCTGAGCACGGCTGCCGCCGTGTGCACACTGCACACCGTGTCATGGACCGACAAGCACAGCACCCACACATACTGGTACGTACTTACATAAAGATGAACACCGTTTGTAGTTCCTTTTATTTAGTCGACGAAGAATGTTTTTCCCAGGTGCCGACAAGATTGGCCAATTTCGCGGTTTATTTTTTGTCACTGCTATTGCGCTGGGCTTGTTGGAGAACATGTTTGTTTTCCATCTTCCGATGTCGTCGGTTCTAGTTAAAGCTGATCCAGATGAGCTTAAAGTTATTGTAACTAAGCGATTTCTGATATTTTTCGCAGTTCAGACTCAAAGCATCGTTCCCAGAATTTCTTCTTTCACTCTAAGTCATCCGTGCAGTTTATGTAAGTATAACCTAAAGCAAGCCGTGACCTTTGCGCAGTTATTAGAGTGCTGCGCCGCTGCCTTTGCTTCAAAACTACAAAGCGCTTCATTCTTTGTCGCTACCGGGTCACCAGCCTTTCTCGCAGCCGTTGCCGTCGAGTGCGATAGACATACACAGTTCAACTACTGTAGCGTTATGGCCCGTCGACTTCCCGTTGCACCGAGCTAGCGGCCTGTAGGTACACGGCAGCTATCGAAACTAGACCCTTTAATTTCTGTATTCCGTATTGCCGATATTTTATATTGGTGACCTTTTATAACGCTGCAGCGGTAATTCTCGACTGCATGCACTGTACAGTGTAATGTACAATACAACGAAATGTAACGCACGCAGTAAGACAGTTCTTAACATCGCGCATTTACCATTATTAGGCATTGCTGCTTGCTACACAGGACGCCGGTGTGCACACTCTGACTCGTAGCATTGCTGTGTTTGGTTTTGTAACTTTTGTTCAAATGCGAAAAAGATGGACGCCGCGCTTCTCGCTGACGCGGCGGTCGTGCCCAGCCTGGCCCTGTCTTATATGGTGTGGACGTCTTCGCGATCGCGGCCCGCAAGGAAGAAGCGCAGCATCCAATACGAAGTAGCACCTGCAAATAACGGTCACCTTGTTAAGCGTGCCAGGCCGACGAGTGTCGATACGGAATAATTGATGTGTGGCCCGTCGTGACCTTTGTAGATACGTACTGCGCGCGTTGAGGCTGACTGTGCCAGACAACTCTGCCGTTGCCTATACCGTACAGACTGCTGAGGAAGAGCGTCGGGCCCTAGTCGGGATTGATGAGCAGTGCGCCACCGGTGCCCTGGCAGGTGACGGCCGCGTTGGCCCCGCTGGTGGCCGTGAAGCGCACCGTCTGGAAGCGCTGGCGTTTGTAATCCGCACACTTCCGGACTCACCGGCATTTCTGCTCAGTTATAACAGCGAACGCGCGCGAGGGAGCCTCAGTGAGGTGTTTACGGACTTGCACTGGTACATTTATACTTTCTAGTACATAAATTCTCCGTAATTTCCTCGATTTGCTGGACGCGGACTCTTGCAGATTGACCATTCCTTCACCTGTTCGTTTCCACCGCAGTGACCAGCGTGGCGCAATTCGGGCTGGTCAAGCGTCGTCCTTGTTTAGATGGCAAGACTACAACGCCGCAAATGACGGTGGTGGTGGACGGCGGCCGCTCCGCCACCGAGGTCATCTACGCGCAGCCCAAGAAGCCCGGCGGCGCGGGCGTGCCGGAGAACCACTACGAGTACCTGGAGACGGCGCGGGTGCACGGCGGCTACGGGAACCCGCTGGACGCCGGGCTAACCGGGGAATACGCGCTGAAGGACTACCTCCCGGAGGAGCTCTACGACGACGTCTCCGCCGCCATCCACAAGTGACCCCGCCGCAACACCCCGCGCCCATTCCGCGCCGCTGCCTTGCTGACCCGGCCTTTCCCGCTCACGTAGTTTACTGCAGCATAGTCTTTTTTTGTAGTGTTTAAATTGATACTAACATCTGCAGCTTTTTTATCGGTGTACAGAATTTTATGCACGATGCCGCTAATGTGTTTTTTTCGTCAACTTTTACTTCAAATTGAAACGTACAATAGACCAAACCGGTGTTCAGCGGCGCAACGGTTTAACAAAATAAGGTACGAGCCTCAACGTACAAACGAAGCAAGAACAGAACCGTACAGGGGACTGCCCGGCTTCTCCCGAAAAAGTAAGCAAAAATAATAAAAATCCTGACTCATTCGAACACGGGAGCAGTGACTGGTTCCAGATGCAGACCGCTTGTTGAACGAGACTACATGTCCGATGAAGATGGTGAGGATGGGGTGTAAGTTGAATCACTTCCGGACTCGTCATCGGATTCATCCACCTCCATCACCTCGAATTCTTCATCGGCGACATTTTGCAGCGGAACGTTCAGGCGCAGCTTCAGTTCGTCAGTCAAGTCCCCCAGCTTGTTCGTAGCCGCGACGATTTCGCCCCGGCCGTATCCCACGATCCCCTCCAGCAGTTCCTGATCGACTTCCAGCTGCATGTTCCAAAATTCAGCAAGAAACTGGATCGGATCAGGATCATCCAGCTCCTGCAGTAGTTCCTTTTCGGGCTCAGCCGCGTTGAACGAAATCATGCGGTAGATCTCGCCTGTGGTTAGATCGCGCTGCCAAACTGTGCAGTGCGGGCCGACAGCGGAGGAGCCCCAGAGCTCCGTCCAGCTGTAATCATGCATCTGGGCCACCATATCCGGATTGCACAAACGGCCCAGCAGCTGCGCACCGATGCTCTGACGCTTGCTCTCGTAAAACAGCATATCCTGCATTCTGTAGCCAGTAAGGGCTGTACTGTCCTTCACTCGAACTTTTCCGGCCTTGGATTCATGAATCCAAGCCTGAATCATTGGTGCAACCTGCAGGGCGCGGTGGGGCGACACCACTACACAAGCGTCGCGTGTTTCTATGCGATTAAAAATCATATTCAAGCTATTTATGCAGTGTAACAGAAGGTGATGCAATCGGTTGCGTGTCGAGAGTTCTTCACTTACGGCGCTCCGGGCCAAAGTGGTGTTGGGTCGAAAGCGAAAGGAGCGGGTGGGGACCGGGATTATCACCCTTTTGGACGAAGGCCGTAAACCAGTTCAGAAAGTATCCGTTCGTGTATTGTTCGCGGGATTCCGTTTTCAGGTTGGGCAGATACGCCTCCGTGTTCTCAGGAGCTCGCAGAGGCTCAGACTACAGAGAAAAGTGCCTTAAAAACACCGTACTTAACCGCGCACTTTGTCTGCTTTACCATTTTTTTCGGGATGGATAGCTTGAATCTAGAATAGTCGATCTGTTAAGATCGGTTAAGAAGGTTTAGCACAAAATTAACAAGTATCAACAATTCTTTGCAAAGAAGCGTGTGATAGTAAGTTATTAGTTAATCACAGAAGAACGTTGCAACCTCAAATCTCAGTTGGCTTTGGCTATTACAAAAACAGTCATAAGAACGTCAGTCGCCCTGACGTGCGGTGAGGGCACCGAACGCTTCCTTCCTGCGCCCACCCAGGAGCATTGGTTACCAACTGTGCAACAGAGCAAGCAATACGGCGAGTCGGCGACGCTACCGTAAATTAGTGATCATAGTAATAATTGTTAGAAATTGCCATCAATTTCGTTACCTCTCCCTTTCCGGAACACCAATTTGGTTGTCCGAGACTCGCCAATGATCATGATATCAAGTCGGATTTCGATTCATGAGCAGAATTTTGTGTACTTGCGTTTCCATTTTTCCACTGTTGACTGTGATGAGTTTCAGTGCAACTCTGTAGTCTGTACGAGTACAACAGAAGCATTAATTTGTCGAAAGATTAACCGAAATATGTTTTCGATGCCAACTTCTTTGAGTCATCACCATTCATATAACGTACACATACTATTGCTGTTAGCAGCGGTACTTCTGCCCACGTTTTACAATCAGGGCCATTTCAGCGGATTTGGTGCGCCGCGGCGGCTTGTGGCCCGCAAGATTCAGAAGTGCGGCTTCGGCGCCAAGTTCGTGGAATTCAAGATCATCAACTGCCTGGCGGTGGCCCGTTTACCCTTCGGCGTCCGCATCGACCTCCTCAAGGACGTCTATCCGCACGAAGTCCAGTGATTATATTCTTTAATTTTCAGTAGCACGCTAACAGTATCAAGAGTTAGTTTCACTTAAACAAAACAACATCATGGAATTGCCCTCATAAACAGTGTAAAGAGCGGACTGCCGCTGCCCCAACGGGTTGGACTTTATCACGCATTCGTCCAGTCCCACCTGGACCATTGCTCCACTGTGTGGAGCGGTGCGCCTGTGTCCACGCTGGAGCCGCTGGCTGTCGCGCAAAGAAAAGCTATTCGAGCAATCGCCAACTATGCCGAAGTATCCGCCACCGACCTGATGAAGCAATTCGAGACTGTTTGAGCGATGGAAAAACCAGCAAGTAACGTGGCTTTACAAAATTCTGCACCCGGACAAGTTCCAGGTGCCCCGCTACCTCAGTGAAATGATCGTCGTGAGCAGGATGACAAACCGTACGGCCTCCGAAGCGGAAACCGGACCTTCATCGAAGGACAGGGAAGGACAAGGACGGGAAAGTCCACGTTGGCCTCGAGGCTGAACAGTATCATGAGCCAATTAAACCAAGCCGGAAATGATATCCTTAACAGCCCTTCTCTGTCTGTTTTTCGCAATGCGATGAAATATGTTAAAATTGCTGGTTAGCTTTCACTATTTTCACTTGTCAATGATGTAGGGCTACTGCCGTCTAAAATTTCTTATGTTAGCCAGTTTAAATTCCCACGCTTGATGACGATCCTAGCTTTTAATGGGTTACCTGCCTACTTTGCAATAAACAATAAACAATAAACAATGATCAACTGCTACAGTACCCATAACAGAAGCGGCATTGCCCCTTTGAATTGCTAAAGAAATATTCTGCCTCAAAAACTCGTGGCTGCGAATCTCGCCTGTTTGTAGCTCGATCCTCTTTCCGACCTCTTTAAGCAGCTTCTTGGCTGATGTACCAAAACTTCCGAAAGTTTCGAATCCGACGGCAGCAAACTCATACCGTGCTGACAGGAAGTTGTTTTTCTCACTTTTTCGGCTTCGGCCTGGTCGGCTGCCGCTCCGGCTTTTACGCTGGTGTGATCCAAGTAAGACCGGGCAACGGTGTCGACAACGGTTACATCCCACGCCAAACACAGCCCTCTGGCCCAGGGAAAAGTGGTGATACCATCTGGACGTGTGTCGTTAGCGTGGTGCATGCTTCTAGGTTCCTTTCGCGCCGGGATGCCTGCTGAAACCAGAGCCCGTCGCAGAATATCATTAATGCAATCGTGTCTGGGAAGTCTTCCAGCAGAAAATTTGCAACTCAATCCATGGTGGCTGTCAGCAGCGACTTCAGCACCACACCTGCACTGGTGCTCGGAAGATGCAGGTGCGCCTAGTCGGATAGCAACGGCAATGCGGAAAGATTCGTCGTCCAGTAAGTTTCCGATTGACGATGAGGGGAGAGCTTGCGTCCACACTCCTGACTCTGGTGTAGAAGTCCCCAATAGTCGTGCCTTGTTTGCGGTATCTGAAGCCTCGTACAGCAAGGTTGCCTGCTCTGCTAGGCAGTATGGCGTATCCCATGCGCGTTGCAGGTGTTTGCGTTCGGCGAGAGGCGGTGATGCGTCGTCGGAGAGATAGCTCCAAAGCGTAATGTGGTCTGTTGCATCGACTCCCGTTGAGTGCGGCATTAGTTTAGACGCAAGGCTCTGGATAGCGTGAATCGAGGCTAGATAAGCCGACAATGATAATTCTTCTACCCGTCGAATGCTTAATCCACCACAACGCACTGGCAAGGAAGCTTGACGCCACGCGGCAGGGTTCATGCGGACATTACAAATGGACTGTAGCGATTCCCTAAGTACTTCGTCGAACTCGCAAAGGCTGTCGCGTACTTCGAACGTTGGACAACACCGCAGCAGATGAATGACTTTAGTTGCACTGAGACTGCATTTGACCGCAGGAAGTAGGCCTGGTGTTGGGGTAAAAGCTCGAGACGGCTGGCTATAAGGCGCATCACATCCGTCTTCTGTTGCATCGCAGTCTTGATTAAAGTCCAGTGAGTCCACGTCCGCCCTGTCTTTTTATTGTATAATTTTATTTTTTTATTTTTACAACACCGGAAGTGAGTAATATTTAGGTATTAAATTGTGGTCGAATTTTAGGTAATTCGATTTTTATTTCATGGCGCTGTTGTCTGCTGCAGGTATGAGCCGGAACTGCATCCGGCGGCCTCGTGGAAGCTGCCGGAAGTGGGCGGCCCGGTCCAGGTCTTTCAGACGGGCAACACCACCATCACCGGTAAACTGCCTGACAGCCTGTCGCTGCATCGACGCTAAATAAGCGTCTGTTTATGTCTAATACAGCGCCGAACGCTTTGAGTGCGCGCAAGACCTTAGCCAGCATCTACGCCAAGCTGTACGAGTTCCGCAAGCCCAAGGACAGCGCGGAGCGGAGCGTTGACCATTAGTACAACAGCATTTATTGACCAGCGCGAGTATGTCACAGGAAACGAGCACTCCGACAATAAGCAACCGCAACGGCTGCACGGACGAAGAACAGTATGGGCAAATAAGAAAAAGAAACGCAAAAATTCAGCCAAATAATGAAATGAAGGGCAATCTAAGCCGTAGGAAAGTATTAGAGTACTGTCAGCATGTGAGCGACAAATTGAGAATCGATAAACTAAGAACTAGTCTGCCTCGGCAAGGAGCACTGCACTAATTACGATCCTGCTCCACGGACACGACGTTACTCCTGCAAACATGGGACCGTTAACTACACGCAATGCGCACGCTAGCAGCGGAAAAGAGTTGTGTGACTACCTGTTGATCACTGGGCTTTTCCCAGTCATCCCGGTGATGGACGCCAATGTGCCAGAGCACGTAGTCGCGGTTGGAATAGTGCACCGCACACTTCTGCAACAAGTGCAGCCATTAGGCTGGCTCGAACGAGAGCCAGTGTCTGATTACGCGCCTACCTGGACGGGGCAGGTGAAGTTGTAGAGGAAGCGACCGGGCCGGGCCGCGCTGTCCACGCTGCGGCTCAGCGCCTCCCCGATGCACTGCGCCTTCACGCCCGCTTCCAGGTGGGCCCGCGCCTGATGAAATCAAAGCTTCAGCCACACCGCACCACACAAATCCGCCAGTGCTTCTCACGACCAACCTGCAGGGCCGAATCCGTGTACACCACGCGGAACAGATGCGGATGCGCGGCCTTGATATGGAGATCCATCATGTGGTGCAGCGAGAACACCCGGACCGGGCACTCCTGCCGACAAACAAAGCAAAACAGACCGGCTCAACCAATCGCTGAGGCTCCAGCTCAAACTGACGCGTACCGGGTCGGCGCAGGCGTGGTACACTTGGGTGGGGATGGCGCAACGCTGTCGGTGCTGCAGTATCAAATGCGCGTGCATCCGCTGCGACGAGTCCAGCAGCCGGCCGCGGCCTTCTTCACTGCTTACCAGGGCACACGCGTCGATCTGGCACACGTACTTCACTTGCCCATTCTGCACAACAGTGGCTCAAAAACTCACTGCGTAAAACGCAACACGCTGCAACGGCCACTAACCACAACACGCGTGGGGATGACGATCTTGTCGGCCGTGATCTGGCTCGGCCACAGCCGGCTCACATCGCTTGTCCCCTCCGGCAACGTCTTCGTCCTGGCCGAGCGGAGCAACTCCCGATGTTTCTGCAACAACGCACAGTTAATGCATCTGTTCCTTCCTGTTCTCGGCCCGCCCTCACCTGGCCACTCTTCTTCTTCCGCTGCTTGTACAGCGCCTCCATCACGCGCTCCTTGTACTGCGCATGGTGTTCATCCATGTGATGACTCAGCAAGTAGCCCAACGGATCGAACTGCACGTACTGACAGTCGGCGCCATCGTTGAAGGCGGCCGGACACGGACAGGCGAAATTCAGCTGCACGTTGTGCAGGCCGTGGACGGCCTCCAAGTGCGCCTTCAGTCCCGCCGGCATGCCCGCGCGCAACTTGACGCAGGCCTCCAGGGCGCCCTTTCCCACACCGAACGGACAGCGCAGGGGCTCGATCATGGACTAGGGCGGAAGACAGTCAGATCGTGAGAACGGAGAAGGCAGTCAGTACTCACCTGAATTGTTCCCCGCATCAGCACATGGCTGGCATGTTTGGACACCCGCACCAGCAGCTCGTTTTTAACGCCACTGCCAACGACAACCTCGCTGTCCGGCCGTCCCACCGCCGCACAGAACGCCTGTATAATCAAGTCATTTAATCCAAACAGACTACTGGTAATACAGTCAACATGGGCACGCATTTTTCTTGCATTCGTTTAGGCTTCCTGTACGGTGTGAAACGGTCTGCCTGCATGCCTGATTACCCGCCTTGTGTACTGTGCAACCGCACCGGGCTACGCTGCTAGCTCTAGCCTAAACGACAAACCTCAACGCTACAGTCAACTTCCACGTCGTGTTCTATTAAATTCGATAAATTAAAATTCTTCGTAGTAATAGTTACAAATTACAAAACGTCTGTACCTATTAACATGTTAATTTTAATCCATGATTAATATTTAATAATACAGGATCACAGACATAACTGGAGATGATAAAACTATCAAAGCCATTTTAGTTAAAGAGCTAAGCAGCTGTATAAAAGAGTCGAGGAGCCAGACTGCCAGCGAACAAAGATCGTTGCGCTTGGTACTGGAAGTTCGAAACAGGTTGAATGCGGAAAAACAGCATTCACGACTAGAGATAGCTGCGCATATTGTTATTCATTAATAGTTAATTGATCAGTACGGGTCGAGAGAAAAGAGAGACACAGTGAGAAAAGACAGCAAAGCTCCAGAGAAGAACGAGTTCTTCACTGAAATGCGCTTACCAGTTCGTCAGGCTGGCTGGTCTTGGGGGGCTGCGGGCGGTCCCGTTTGGGGCTGGTGTCCTCGGAGGAGATGCTGGCTGTGGAGCTGTAGTCGCTGTGGTGCGATGAACGACGAATTCTGCCTGGCAGAGGCAGCGAGACGTCGGTAGCGTCTTCCTGCGGGTCCCACGCATCGCCGCCGTCTTCTTCGATGGCCCGCAGCGCCATTATTTCCACAGTGCTGTTGGGATTCGCGGATTCTGATGTTAAAACAATTATTTCTAACACTGCAGTATAAAGTATTGGAGTACTTGCTGTCACTACCGTGGATCCTCAGAAAACCTTCACGCTGAATTGCTATTACAGACTACAGTTGACTGTTCTGAGATCAGTAAAATGTCAAAATGAGCTTGTACTTAACTTCGAGCGAACTTTCCAGTACGGCGCGTACTCGTGAGTCTGGTGGCTGGCGACGGTGAGTGGTGAAGCGATAGCAGACATCAGCACTCAGCATTAACAGTTCGTATGTTGCAATTTTACCTTAGCAAAACACCGAGGCGGTAAGCATGGCGACGGAGTGCCTTGTTTATGTTTATGTTGTGACTGCTACCATTTTATAGATTTTTAACTGCTGTGCAGCCTGTGCTCATGTTAATATTCACAAATTACAGTAATGTCGAACTTCGTGTATTCTTAAGCAAAAATTCTATCCATACTCTTATCACCGTGGACTGTGAAAGAGTCCAGGACGGTAGCCCAGACTGACAGGACTCCGTGGAGTGTAATACGTGACGTTTAAGGAAGAAATGCACAACGCACGATATCCAGTCTACGTAGTACACTTTATTAACGTTCTCTATCGTGAAAACCAACACACTGACGTTCAGTCAACTCAGAGAGCCAAATTCCACCTGCTCTCGACAACTCTAAAGCACTGCGCAGCAGTGAACATAATGAACGGCAGTAGCCGACCAATCAGAGAAGCGCTGCGTCACAGACGGCAATTCCCCACGGAGTAGTGCAACGAAGCACTCCCGTAGCGCCAGTAGCGACACGCAGGTGGACGCAAGGGAGCCATCGCCTCACATGCCTCTGGGTGGGAGGCTGAGCTCCGTCGAAGCTTGATCCATTCCCTTCCGCTCCGAAGGTGGTCTGTGCACGCTTTCGTAAAAAAAAACATCAAATTCGCTTATTCCTTCTTATCACATGATTCCAAATGCACAATGTGAATTAAAGAGATCTGTAGAAAAATACTATTCCATATAAACAGATCAACAGTTATAACAGATCAACAGAAGCAGTTAAATGAAACATGTAGACTAGGATCCTCTATTGACTCGCGTAGGTCACTGGTCCTGTCCACCGTTTTCCACATCTCTTTGGCCCATTCCGCTCCATCTTGAGCATGTTGCGCAGCTTCGTGCGACTTTCATCACATCCGCTTGTAGGAATAAGGTGCGTATCGAATGTACGTCTTAGGAATACTGTTTCAGCTTTGGAATAGTTGCGTATCAATTGTACGACTTTATAATGAGATCCGGTTTAAGTCATGGAGGGACATCATATAGATAAGCGAAGTTAGTTCGCTTCCTCCCTGATAAGATCATCTTTCTGATCGTGGATGTGCGACGTTGTCTGGTACGGTTCATTCAGCATAGGTCATGGAGGAACTTAGCCATTTTTCATCGGCTTTCAAGCTCATCTCAGCTTGCCTCCCTGGTGAAAGTCATTTCGTCGCACAATCCATCTCTTCTGCCTTATTTAGAGAGCCGGCCAAATGTACCGTAGCTACTCTGAACTAAGATGAGTCGACATATAGGGATGCCGACATAAGCCGTAACAACTCCCATTAATCAGCTTTACTGATCCCTCATCTCATTCGACCCATCTCCATCGTCGTTGTCTCGCGGTGGACGTTTTCGCGTTGAACCCGGCTGGTTTCTGTCGGAAGTCCGATCAACTGGTGCAGTTGATCCAGCCGGTGCGTCCTCATCCGCTTGAACACGTAAGACGATGTGACGCGGACCACGACCTTTTCCTTGTCGTGAACGTTTGATCGCATCCAAAAGATGTCGTGCATCGTTCTCTTCACGTTGCAAGTTCCGATTCTGAGGATCTTCCGCCAATCGTTGTCTGGCATCCTCGTACTGATTCCGGATATTCTGGTTTCGAGCAGCTCGTCTACCCGGTGTATTCGGAACATGGGAAGTTGTCGATTGTTTCGGTCCCTTCCATACCAGGTGATCTTCAATGTATTCATGGACTCGATCTTTCGGCTCGATATACGGCGTGTCCATGGTATCTCGGATACGATTGAGTCGCTCCTGGTACTGTGCTTCATGTATCTCATGGAGATTACAATCATCAAATCGCTTTTTGCAGATCGCCAATTCGTCGTTTGCTTTACGTGCGATCGCCTGATGTCTCGCTGGCATCCCTAGTTTAGCAACCTTTTCCCGGTACACAGGCGGAACTTCCCCCTTCGTAAAGTTCGAAAACAACTGATTCTGTGTAGGAAAATGGCCCAATCTCGCAGCAAAGACCTTCTGACCGAAAACTCGCGATTTGTAGTCGGTAGGGTCAACCGTCAATCCAATGGCTGCTCGTGCCGCAAGTACTTTGAATGCCGGATTCACGTTGCGTAGCACAAATTGTGCCACATAGATACTTCTCTCTTTGATCTCTTGGTAATGGAACTGTGTAAATCCCGTATTGTCGATCGTATCCAATGGGACTTCCCATAAGCTCAGGTCGAGGAGACTCGGTAAACCACATTGTCGGATTGGTGTATAACACACCATCGCAGATTCGGTGGTGATCTCCAAGCGACCGAGGTTGCTCTCTCTGAGGTCCGTTTCATAATTAGAATCCCGTAAAAACTGACGAAGGTTATGGAGCTGGGCATGTATCATCACTGACTGCTCCGATTCAATTTCCAGTCCAAAGTAGCGACAGATTTCCGCTCTTTGGGTTTCAATATCATCCATATCATACATTTTACTGATCAACCTGCGTCGCGAATTATCAAAGCGAGAATGATCTCTCCGGTGACCATCTTCGCGTCGTCGTTCTGGTCGTTCCTGTTGACGTTCCGGTTGATATCGATTCTGCGGTTCCTGACGGCGGTTCTGCGATTCGTGAGGGCCTTCCTGCTCACGTCGCGCCGTACTGGCTGATGTCGATGGTTCGAGATCGCGATCTAATACTACGTTTCGTTTATGAATGGTGTTGTCAACCGACGATGTCTCCATCGGTTCATCTTCATCCATCGTCACGATCAATGGTTCTACCATGTGAACCACGGATTTCACTTTCGGCTGTTTCGGCGGAGTATCGTCGCGTTCTCCACTCGAGGTTCGTTTATGGTTGATTGGGAAACTGGCAAAGTAATTCATATCATCCTGTCATCCCTTATGATATGGGCTGCGGCTTCGGGCAGGTCCCGCTAAAGTTCCTTCTCGTCGTTCAGGTGTGAACCCTCTGACTTTCGGGTGACAGAAACCAACTCCCATCGGTATCTGTTGACGTGGTTCATCCCTGCGCGTTTCATCTTGACGAGGTTCATCTCGTCGTCGGTTATCTGGTACATGGCGACGATGGGCACTGGTATCAATCACTTGATCTCCGTGTCGGACCCATGATCTGCCGCCTCGGTAATCGTAATCGCGCGAGCGTGATCTATCATCTCTTTCGTTATGATAGTCACGGGTCCTTTCGCGGGAGCGTTCCCTTGACCTTTCCTTTCGAGAGTCGTAATTTCGTTCATGTGAATACTCTCGTGATCTCTGATGTTCCCTTCTCACTGGTTATCGAGGTCTTTGGAAACCTTCATCGCGCCGAAAACTTTGAAACGCTTTCATCACGTCCCGTTCCATCTCGTGTGTCTTTCGAGCTTCTTCGGTCATCTTTTCAATCAACATTTTGGCATCAGGTTTAGGTGCTTCACCTCTCTCCACCTGTTCATGCCTGAGACCACGTACGGGAGGTACTTGTTAAATTTCCGTTCGTTTCCCGCTTTCATATACTGTGCAAGACCATCTCCGATGATCTGCATCTGCCGTTCCACTTGGCCTTGACCTTCAGGGTGGTATGCCGTTCCGAACGTGTGTTTGATTTTGAACACGTTGGTGACTTTCGATAAGACTTCCGCTGTGAAGTGCCTTCCGCGATCCGTATGTAAAATATGCGGTGCTCCATGTACCAATATCACGTGTTTTACAAAGACTTTGGCAAATTCCTTCGCTGTTGCCGTTTTCATCGGTACTGCTATCACATATTTTGTCAGCTGATCAATGAACACCGCTATATACTTATATCCTCGTTTCTTTGTCGGTAATAAAGGTCCTTTCAGATCGGCATATACTCGGAAGAAAGGATGTCCCACTTTGATCTCTTGCAGCTTTCCAGGTGGGCATTTCCTTGGTGTCTTGGTGAACTGACATCCTTGACATGCGAGTATATAATTCTTAACGTCCGTACTCATTCTGTCCCAATAGTATCGCAGTCTTATTGCTGCTAGCGTCTTTTCATATCCAAGATGACCTGCTGCTTTCTCATCGTGCAGCGCATGGATGATCGCTCGTCTCATGGACAGTGGTACGACATATGACCTTTCTAATCTCCCTTTGTTATCTTTTATTCGGTACAAGATTCCATTCCACAACTGGTAATGAACTTCGAACTTCGATCTCGTTTGGGCGTCTGCTAAATGTTCGAGTTCATCGATGATCATTGCAAGGTGAGGATCTTTCAGCTGCTTATTTCGAAGCTGCAAGTTCGAGTCATCTTCTTCTTCCTCATCTCCTTGCAGGTTGACGATGCGAACAGTTGCGGTGCTGAGATCGTTCCAGTCCGTGATGACTTTGCATCGCGGTAACGGTTTATGTCGGTTATCCTTCTTTTTAGGAAATCTCAGCAGCTTAAAGAAGAAAGGATGTCCCACTTTGATCTCTTGCAGCTTTCCAGGTGGGCATTTCCTTGGTGTCTTGGTGAACTGACATCCTTGACATGCGAGTATATAATTCTTAACGTCCGTACTCATTCTGTCCCAATAGTATCGCAGTCTTATTGCTGCTAGCGTCTTTTCATATCCAAGATGACCTGCTGCTTTCTCATCGTGCAGCGCATGGATGATCGCTCGTCTCATGGACAGTGGTACGACATATGACCTTTCTAATCTCCCTTTGTTATCTTTTATTCGGTACAAGATTCCATTCCACAACTGGTAATGAACTTCGAACTTCGATCTCGTTTGGGCGTCTGCTAAATGTTCGAGTTCATCGATGATCATTGCAAGGTGAGGATCTTTCAGCTGCTTATTTCGAAGCTGCAAGTTCGAGTCATCTTCTTCTTCCTCATCTCCTTGCAGGTTGACGATGCGAAC